TTTTCATACCACCAAAAAATGACCTCAAGTAACTTTTCCGTCATGATAGCCAGGCTGCCAAGAACAGGGGATGCTGTTTAGGACATAAGCTAATGATAATCTTAATCTGAATTAACATCAGAGTGCTGCAAAAGTAGAGATTGATATTTTCTTCTTCACCCAGGACACAAAAATTCCAGGATTCTCCCTGACAGAAATCCAACAACTCTATAAACAATGAAATGAGTTAGCTCATCAGTGGACCTCAATGTGACATTTATTACCTGAGAAGTCTACCTAGACTAGAAGAAATTAAGAATGTGATGAAAAAACTAAATATTGTTAATTACTCTAGGCAACAGTGTTATTTCTGGATACATGCTCAAGACACAATTACATAAGGATTATGTGCCCATAATGCATGATAAACCATTAAATGCAAGGCTGGAATATAGATCTTGAAAGGTTTCCCTCCTTTTCCTCAGCAGCCGCAACCAATAAAATTAAAATTAATCTGAACTTGCATCATACAAGTACGCAGGGCAAAACAAATAAAAGAAAAAGCGTTTTCTTGCACTTGTGGCGCTAAATCCCCGTCCAGGTCGGCTCGGGTCCTTATGACGCTCTCCACTCGTGAGCCCTTGCCGAGATCACTCTAGACAGGTAGCACCTGCTCTAAGCAATAACCTCCTGCACGTCCAAGACCTCTACTTACAGATTCCTCGAAAAGCCGAGGTTTTACAGCAGCTTGTAGGGCTAAGACATTGTCACTGTCATTGCCCTATGCAGGCAGCCTGAAACCCGGCTTTCACGGGTACGGGTGTGGACAGAGAGCAGTAGATTCTCCCGAAACCAAGCGCCTCTTTAGATTTTCTCTGACATTACCATTCCTTTGTCACATACTAGAAGCTCGTACGTTCCTCCTCAGGCAAAATTCTCCCTAGCGCGTCCTGCGGCACAGGCGAACCCAGCCATTTTGAGCGCCACAGGCGCCGCCAACTTGCGGCGGGCGGGGGCGGGGCAGCGGCAACAGGTGGTGCCGCAACCCGCACCCCTCGACGAGCCAGCACTCGGCCACGACCGCCATGGCGCAGGCTTCTGCCCGGCAGTATCGCTGCGGAGTGATGGCCGCTCCTCCCCTTCACTGGGCTCACCCCGCCTGCAGGCCTGAGCCCCCCCGCCCCAGCCCGGCAGTCGCATTCACCTGCGCCGGGCCGCGCCTCCGCCATGCCAGCGCCAACCTCACTCCGCGGTCCGGCGTCCCCGCGGCCGCGCACGCGCACGGCTCGCGCCCGCGCCACCACCAAGGCCCGCCTCTGCGCGCGCAGCCGCACGGAGCCGAGCGCGAGCGCGAAGAGCAGAGGCGCACACGAGGCGGGAGGGACGGGGCGGGGCGGGGCGCGGGGGCAGCACCCGCTGGGGGGGCCCTGAGACCAGCCGGTGCCGAGCGGGGGGTGCTGCGTGTCCGGCCGACGGAAAGAGCTGGAAATCGGAAGCCTTCTGTGATACTGCAAAGGAGGAAGAAAGGAAAACTAACAGCGACAAAGAAATGCTAGCCCTGGCAATAAATTCATCATTTGTTTGGCAATCGGCTTGCCTGCTGCGTTTAGACCCCGGCTAAGCGGGCCAAGAGCAGGAGGGTGGGTTCAGGACAGCTAGTGTCGCTGTCTCAGTGCAAAGAGGTGCTTTCTGTAGCCACAAGATAGAAAGCAGGGATGTGTCATCAGGCTGTCTATTGCATCTTGCATGCAACTGCTTAAAGGAGGTGACAGAGACACACACGTGTCATCCCAAAAAGCCCACACAAGAATTCCCATACTCCAGCTGGTGCTGCAGACAAATCTTATGCTCCAGCTACAAATACTCCATAAGAATTGCATGATTCATCATACTGCGGGTTTCAGCACCAGTGTTTAACCATTGTATGATTCAAACCTCCCTGCAGAGGTTTGCAGTGCCATGGTTACAGTACATCTACTGAACATTTCGGAGTCCTTACAGAGCTGCTGATCTTTATAGACACTGCAGAGAAAGTTCACAGTTTTATAGCATCAGCAGCTCTGAAGAATGGCACCTCAGGAGCACTGCTGCATGCAGTCTGTCTGCATTTTGACCTCCACACTCTCCTGGTGAAAGTCTCCCTTCGAAGTTCCATTTGCTGCATAGCTCTATTGCTCCTAGTCGGCAAAGTTCACGACTTTAAAGCCCTTAAAGAACCAGTGGGCTTATTGCAGAAACACTAGCCATTGAAATGCACCCCAGACTCCTGACATTGCAGAGGAAGTTTGCAAACCAGTATAGCAACGCCCTTATGACGATGCTACATGTTTTGCCATGCATTTTGAGTGTGTTTGAAGTGCTTTACTATATGTAAACATGGTGATCATCTAAAGTTGCAAAGAAAGGTATGCAGCAGTGGCATCCCTTCAGAGACACATGGTTTTCCAGCTGCTGTCAAGAAACTTGCAATAGTCCTCTGGTTCCCATAGACTTCTCTGTAACTACTGTAAAGATGTGTCCATAATATTCACATAGAACTACTAAAAATGTTTAACACTGCTTTTCATGAATACCACAGTACTACCACTTCAGCATCCACACTCTTTTTTTGTTACCACCAAGAAACCAGTTTTTGTCTGGAAAGTACTATAGGGATTTTCACCTGTATGTTCTGCTGCACATTTGCCAATTATTAGGTCCATACAGGTCTTCCTTTGTTCTCTGTTTTCCCTTTTTATCTAAACAGTTCTGCTTTTTTTTTCCTTTCCTGTCTTAAATTGCATTGGGACAATTCCATCCACTCCTGATAGCCTAACTTAATTGCCTAACGTTTCTGTACGCGCATGTGATTTTATTTTCTTCTTTAGTTTGGCAAAAATAGTCTTTCTATCTTTTCCTTATAATTTTTTCTTTTCAGCTCAAGGGTAGGACAAAGATCTCCCCACTGTATCATACACCTTCTCTTAAAACATGTTTTTTGTTTCTACTTTGTCATGCTTGAATATTTATTTCCCCATCTTTTTGCCATTTATCACCCATTTCTTTTTTCAGTAGCTGCTTTTTTCCATCTGACCAGTATGCCTGTCAGGAAGTAGCAGGGACAGAATGCTCCATATGTAAAGTAGAACTGGGAGCTGAGAGTCAGTAAATTCCACAATACCTGAGCAAGAAGCAAGTTCACCAACAGCCCAGGCAGCAGGTCAGGTTGCTATGCGAGCCTGTAATGACAAGGCAGCTCAAGGCAGAAGTCAAGCCAGCAGGCAAGGATTAGAGAGGGTAGACACAAGCATATCTGCAACATAGTTCAGGAGGAAAGGACAAGAGCAGGTATTTTAAAGCAGCAGGGGAAAGAGCAAGGGGCAGACACCTATTGAGGTTTTTCAAGGCCTGAGAGCTACTTACAAAAGTTGATGCTGAACTCATCCAGACAAACTCCCAGGGTGGGGGGAAGGCGCATGGGAGAGATGTACTCAGGTCTCTTACATAGATGTCTTTGGCAGCAGGGATGCCTATAAACAGCCTTGCCTTCAAGGGAGAGGGGGAGATGAGGTAGAGAAGCAGAAGGAAGGGAAACCCTAGCCATTGTTGTCTGTGTCAGCTTGCATGCCAAAGAAGATAAATCTCTAACAGAAACATATTCACTCCTGAGCTGGCATCACTGTATAGTCATTTTTAAGAACCAGTCAGTGACTGGGGTCAGTGACTACTGAGGACATGCTTTGACATGAAGACAGCAAGGTTGTCATGATGCTGAGATTCTGGTGAGGAAGATGAAATGGTCTACAGCCAATAAATTACAAGTCTAGATGTTCAGCATGAGTCTTCTGCATATATACAATACCCTTTTTTGCAAAGGATTTCCTGGAATTCCTGGTTTTTAAAGAAGCTGTTCCTAGGTAATTCCAGATGCCATTAGGGTTGCAATCCCTGCATCCAGAAGCAATAATCTAATACAGTACTGTGTACACCTCCAGAAGGCAAGGGAAGAATGCTGTGGGCACAGTCAATTGCAGCACACAGCGATGTTCTCTCTCTTTCGTCCTTTCCTACCTTACCTAAAGCCCTTATAGACAAGTGAAAAAAAAAAAAAAGTCCACTAGCATGTGCTTTAGTTTAAAAAAAAAAGTCTGTTGCTGGGGACAGCTTTTCAGAAGCATCCTTCCAAAAGCTAAATTTGGGCATAAATTGAAAATAGAAACCAAAGTTCTGACAGATGAAAAGTAAACCACACCATGAGACAGGCTAAAAGGGTTTGAAGAACAACTTACATAAGGCATAAAATCTAATAATAAATCCCTTTCAAACACTTCAGGCTCTGCACATCTCCAGACAGACTGCAGCACCAGGAAAATTAAAAGAAATTTAAAGGAGCATACAGAGAAAATAACCAAAAATCTAAACTCATTCTTTACATCTGTGCTCACTGCAGCAGATATGGATTCCTGAGCCAGCTCTTCTTTTTTAGAGGGGCATTCACCAGGGGTTATGTCTTGAAAGATTCAGTATGTAATATATAGGTTATGGAACATACAGGCAAAATTAATAGTAATAAATCACAAGGACCAGATGGTATATACCCAGGAATTTTAAAAGAATTCAGAGGTGAACTACAAATGTCCTGTGTCATAGTTTGAGATTGGCCCCCCTGAGAGTCGGGGGCTCAGAGGTGATTGGGTGCCAGGGCAGTGTTCCCTGGAGAGCCAATCACCACTTGTTCTTGTTCACTTCTGCTAAAAATCATATATACACAGCACCGGAAGCTGCTGGCAGTGTTTTGCTGTTGGTGTCCGCTGTGTGTAGGTGGAGAAGGCCAGGGGGTGGCTGGGCTCCTTCTTTCCCCCCTCCGGGGGGGAGAAGGGGAGCCTTGCGGCCCCCAACTCTGCCTAGGCCAGAGTTAGAGGCAGCATTTAGAGTGAATGTTTGTGAGGGATGCGACTCACAGCACCTGAGGTAAGAGGAGAGAGGCAGGCTTTGCAGCCAAGCCCTCTTCCCCCTCCTTTCTGCAATTAAGCTGTGGAGGGGGGGCTTTTCTTTCTCTCCACTGTAAAGTGGAGGAGAGGCTCAGCACTGGAGCAGAGCCAAAGTGGATGGGCTAAATATAGCTCAGAGCCAGGGAAAGGAATCCCAGGCAAAATTGGAGACGGACCGAAGAGAGAGGCCCAGAGGATGTCTCTGCCGTGATTTAAACGCAGGACAGCCAAAAACCCGAAGGAGGAATCAACATTCCAGGACGCGTACATTGATAAGCTACACTACAGCAGCCTACGAATCGAGGTATGAGACTGAGAAAGAGAGGTCACACAGCAGACCGAGGAGAAAGGACTCAAAGCTGTCTTCTTGGACTTCGTGAGGAGAAAAACTGCAGCAAACAGCTTGAGGTTGGTAGGGAGTGTTTCGGGCCCCGAACACTCCCACGAGAGAGAGACTGGTTATTTCCCAGCCTTGAAAGGCTCTTCCTGGACTAAAGTTAAAGGGAGGGGCTTAAAGGACTGATAGAAGTGTAATAATATATATATATATAGTTGCCTTTAGTTTGTATAATATTTATTTGTGTAAATAAATATATATACTTTCCCTTTCCCCTATAAAAGTCTCTGGCCTGAAAGTTTCTCTCTGGTGTTGGGATAAATTGTGGGAAGGGGTGGGGGAAAGCCTGGAAATTGGATTTTGGATTTCTAATGTGGCTCAAACTGCTACACCTGAAAAACTTATAATATAAAACTGCTTTGGTAGGAGAAGACAGGGATGTGTCATCTATAGCTGACTTTAAAAAGCTGATTTTAAAAGAATGCTATAAGAAATCTAGAAAAGTACAGGCCTGATGTCCATAGCGGGCAATTTAATGAAAACTGTAAGATAGATCAGAATTAGTAAGCATATGCATAAAGATGTTGTAATAGAGATGAGTCATAATGGCTTTTGTAAAGAACTGCCTCACAATTCCACTGAAACGTTTATGAATCCCTTGTGGCTAAGGGAGATAGATCCTGGAATCCTGACCAGGGATTTCTGGAAGGTATTTGTAGAGGCCAGTCATCAGCTCTCAAAAGTTAGACTGCCAAGAAATAAATAATTGCAGGACTAAATAACTGATTGAAAGATAGGAATCTATAGCAGGAATCTACAGTAGGAATCAATAGCCCATTTTCACAGTAAAAGGAGGTCATCAATAGAGTCCCACAAGGAAATGTTTTGGAACCTAATCTGTGCAACATATTTCTCAAAGATCTGAAAATGGCAGTGTCAGAGTCTGCTGACAGTACAGTGTTATTTAGGGAAATATAGGCAATGGCAGGCTGAGAAGAACTGCAAGCAGAAGAGTCTTTGGTACTGGGTATATGGGCAAAAAGATGGAAGCAGAGCATATGGGAATAAACCATCCTATCTTCACATTTGAAATAAAGAGCCCTAAGCTGTTACAACAGTTATAACAGGTAGTTGTATGAGAATGTCTTTTTTATGCTCAATAGTGTGAAAAAAAAGCAAATCAAATTATTAAGCATTGCTAAGAAAGGAGTAAAGAATAAACAGAGATAACACCAAGACAGTGTAAGAATCAATCAATACTATACAGAAGTCCAGGTCCTCTATCTCAGAGGACAAAGGAAAAGGGAAAGGTTCAGAAAAAGGCAAAGAAAAAGGGATCATAAGCAAGAATGACTTAGATATGTTGCCTAAAAGAAGCACTTAAAAGAAACCTCTAAGTTTTAGAAATAAGGCATTCTTTAATCAGCACTGGGTGCACTGGTCATAATTTTGCCAAAATTCACCCTTCACTACAGCTTATATGTCAGTGTTACATGATTATTCATTTTTCATTCCTGTTACATATTCACGGAATTTCCCAACACTTATTAACATATATGCATATCCTTTTAAGGTCTCTGAGGGTCTTCCTCAGTGGTCTTCGGTGGTCTTCTTTGAAGCCCCCCAAAGTTCTAAGTGATTACCTTGTGAACTTCTTCAAGTCAGTGCACTTGGTTAAAAAGTAACTGGGTGTTGCCTGGCTGACTGCCTCAGTTCCCCCCTTCATTGTTTCTTTAAATCACTTGGCTCAGCTATATGTAGTTTCTATGTTGTTGTTCTGAAAAATATGTCGGGGTTGACAGCAGGTCTGTCGGAAGGAAGACAGGACTGTAAAAGCTGATATCCTGAACTTCCTGCAAAGTCACCATGAGCTTGCTAGAGCAAGTCACTGTGAGTCTGCAAATGCTGAATCATTGTGAGTTTGCTGTAGGGCAGCCAATCCTGAGGTACGTTTATGAAGAAACACCAATTATAATGCAACATATATGTTACACTGGGGAGTACAAATGTCAGAGATCTGTTGCAATAAAGATCCTATCCCTCTCCTGTCCTATTTTTGGAAAAAGACTGTTTCTGTGTTGCTTTGGCTGTCTCAACAGCGACATATATATATATATATATATATCTATATCTATGTTTCTGTTATTATGAGCCTCAAAAATGTCCAAAAGACAGAGGAGCTAACTAAAACTTTTATTCGAATAAAAGGGAGAGTTCACTAGACAATCCCCAGTGAAGTCTCTCAACTTGATAGAGGTCACAGCCTCTTTTATCCCCTTGCCTGAAATGCAGGTCCCTCCCCGTTTCCCCATTGGCTGAGGTACTCTGGGGTTACAGCCTTCCCAACATGCCTACAATGTGTCCCCCATTATATGGTTCCTTTGTTTCTGGGCAAATTGCACTTTTCTATAACTAAACAACTGAACAACCAGTAAATTGTCACTACTCAGCATCAAATGCAACCACACCACAAATTTTGCAAGAACACCTATTTATTCCTAATATTGTAAATACTAGCAGTTCTTGTTACATTTCTAAACCCCGACATCAGATAAACCTTTTGGAAAAGAGTGTGTATGTTTATGGATATGATAGAGGTCTGCAAAATCTGGAACAGCACAGACAGAGGAAATAGACTGAGCACTGACCTTTGAAAGGTGATATAAAATAAAAGATCATTTAGAGTCCTGGTGAGGCAGCACTGAAAGAGTAAAATATCAAAAAAAAAAAAGTTACATTGCACTTAAACTACCAAGTATGGGTGCCCTGCTGATCCAAACAAGTTTGAAGCTAAAAACCATAGTAGCGGGGTACTAATAACATGGTACTGGTTAACAGAATGGTCAGTGTCAGTCAAAAGACAGTGGCCCAGCAGGGAGCCTCAGAGATAACTTTTCAGATGTTGAAATTCTGTACCCACTTCTGACTTCTGAGGTGCATAGCACAAGCTGATCTTGCCTGAAAGCTGATCTTTCTCCTGGTGTCCGTCGTGGTTTGAGCCCTCTAAAAATCCATTTTCGAATTTCCAAGCCCCCCTCCCCCAATTTACCTCAACACCGAAGAGAAATTTCCAGACAGGCACAACTCAGTATGGGGGAAGGGGATTATATACAATTTATTACTATACACGATAAATACTACAGAAGCTAAAAAGTAATTATATGCACAATATTAACACAATCCCTAACACCCCTTGGACCCTCCCACATCACTTAAGAAGAAGTCTTCAAGGCGATAGTGATAAGTCTCTCTCTAATTGGGGTATCTGGGAAAGGGGTCTCTTGCACCCCCACCAGCCCTCAGCTCCTGCTGAGGTCTCCTCCTGAGCTGCAAGGGAAACACATGCGTCATCAGGTTTTCATCACAAAAGGTCCAGGGAGTCAGCTTTTGAGTCCTTTTTCCCTGGTTCTTGAAGGTTTCCTCCCAGAGAGTAAGATGTTCCATTCTCACTCTCCAGGTTGCAGGCTTCTGAGTCTCACTCAGTCTTTTTACCCCAAATAGCTTTCACCAAAAGTCCTTACCCAGAAAAAGCCTGCCGGTTTGGCTTCCTCTCTTCCTTAGCTGCTGCAGCTTTCAGTTTTTGGCTGCCCTCGTCCAAACTCACGTAGGGCACCTCCAAACCCTTTGTCCCGTCTCCTGGCTCGGCTCCAGTACCGAGCCTTATGTCCACACCACTGCCTCCCTGGGCAGTGGAGGAAGGAAAAAAGAGCCCCCTAGCCTTGGCCACGGGTACTCGGTCTAGTTATAAACTGTCCCAAGCTCCCCTCAGCCTAGCCGGCGGGGGAAGAGGGCCTGGCCCCCCTGGCATAGGGGGCTGGAGGCCTCCCTCCTCTCACCTCATGGTTGCGAGTCTCTCCCTCACAACACACACACTCACTGCCACACACTGCATCCAGCTCTGGTGGGGGCCCCTGGCCACCCCTTGGCTTCTCTCTCTCTCTCTCTCAGACACTCTCACACTCTGCCAACAACTTCCGGCTGTTATGATATCTAATTTCACAAGAGCGAAAAAACCAGCTGCGATTGGCCCCCTAACCGGAAACTCAGCTGGGACCAACCATTTCCAGCCCCCTGGCCCCCGGGGGTGTGGCTCAAACTATGACAGTGTCCCAGGTCCTAACAGTGTTCTTCCTACTTATGGAAGACAAGTTCTGAAGTCCCCACACAGCCCTTTTACCCGGACAAAGAGAGGTGGCCTACAGCAACTGCTCCCTTCTATGCATTGCTGAGATAGATAGTGGACCAGTCCCACAGGGCTCCAAAGAACTTGCACATTGGTTTGAACCCTTCAGCAAGCAGCAGCTCTGCTGTCCTAGGAGGAAGAAAGCAGCAGGTAACCCATAGGCCTAAGGAGGTGCTGAAAGCTGTCTGGTTTGTGTTTAAGGAAACTTCACAGTGAACATTTGTGAGACTGGCAGTCACACTCTCAACACCAGACACTTTAACTGCTGGGACCGAAGCCCCTTCACAGCAGGTGGCAGTGAACCAACCGGCTTTACTCCCTGCACACCCCACTCACACAGTCAGACAAGGTTTCCTTATCGGTTTGACCCCAGGTTTCCCATAGCAGAGTCTCAGATGTCTAGTTCATTGAAGTAATTTATTCATGGCACAGCCATTATTTGAAAGGTCAGCAGTTCACAGCCTCTTGTCTCTGGTGCCAATCTGCATTTCAATCTGCAGCTTGCAAGATGAGCTACCTAGACCAGATATATTCCTCAACAGTTTGGAAAACAGCAAATGAGGTAGCAATGTGCATCACCTAAAGACAGCACATTGTGTTACCAGGAACTAAGCACAGATCACCAGTCTGCAGGTATAGAGTAGGTATTATTTTAGTATGGCATCCTTAGGGAAGCAAGTAGGACCACAGGCTTTTACGCTAAAGGACTCCCGGCAACTAACTTCTGATGCACTTACTGCAGGCAACATATTTTGGGGGAAGAATTTAGCTATAAACTCTATCTTGCTACAAAGTTTCCAAGCATCCATTGTTCTGCCTGGAAAATCTTGATCAGTGCTGCTAAGATGCCCAGTATGAACACAAAGCATCTCCACTGTCCACACAAAACCCAACATATTTGGCTTACCATACATATATTTTTCAGTTAACTACACTTCTAACCATAAGGCACTTGCTCCATTGCATCTGTCACATGTACAGCTGGCATGTAGTGGATCTAGCACTGAGAAGTCACATCTCTGTGATTTCTAGTCAACTTTTCCTACTTTATGTAATTTCAAGAAAAAGAATACAAGAGGATTCTTGCCAATGTTGTGTCACACAATTTACTATGATAACATTAAGCTTTCTTTAAAAAGGAAAGATTTTAATGTTTAATCGTGAGGGATTTTAAATAGATCATTGCAACCAGTATACCCTCCTTTCTCTACCACTTATCATTCTTTGAGGAAATGAAGTAAAAGAATTCACTGCATGAAGTAAAACTATATAGGACCACCAATGCCAGATAATTTAACACCTGGATGTTATCCCAATACTGAGAAGAGGCACTAAGAATGATACTTCAGAAATTATACAGAAAAAGTCTTTGATGTCATGGTAACAGAATGAAGAAGCAAAGCCCCTCTCTGAGTTACTTTCATGATCAGAAGAAAGCGTGTCTCTGAATTGATGAGTAGCCTGTGGTAACAGAGCTGCTTTCCAATATCTGACAAACCAGATCTAAAAAAGAGGAATTACAGTATTGAAGAGATATGCACTCAGAAAATACAGTAAAGAAGGAGAAAGCTTGCGAAGGGAGATAAGAATATATCATCTTCACCCTGAACAAGGACTCTCCCATATTCCTACACAATGTCCATTAGACTAAAGGAAACAAAAGCTTTTTGCATCCTGCAATACACTCACCTGAAAAAACTCCTATATATTTATTCTCAGGACTCTGAATACTATGCAGCAGTGATAACCCAGCAGATAGTTCAACTGGTGTGTCTGGATATGTCTTACACTAGAGGAAAAACCTGAAAAAGGTGAAAATAGAGAAGAGCAAAAAATAGCATACCTGTGTCAAATTCCTTTACTGTCAATTTATGTAACAGAAACTCATAATTCTGCAGAATGTATGTGTGTGTACATACATATCTGTATAGAGAGTGAGAGAAAGAGAGGAAGAGAGAGAAGTAAAATAGGAAGAGGTTCAGTTATACCAGACAGCCAAAGGCAAACAACTCCTCTGTGACTAACTGCAAGTAATCATCTAACTGGAAGCCAAGTTAAACTGAATTTCTTAAGGGTCAATACTGAGGCTGACACTGTTTAACATCATCATCAATGACCTGGAAAAGGGGACAGAAGGATCCTAAGCAAGTTGGCATATGACACAAAATTGCAAGGAGCACATGAAAGGCCTGTCATTCACATTGACGTTGACAAGCTGGAGGAACAGGCCACTAAGGGAACCCATAATATATACAGGGAGAGGCTAATCTAACTGGGTTTATCCAGCCAAAGGAAGAGAAGACTAAATCTCATTCCTATCTTCAACTATCTAAGGGGGTTTATAGAGAAAAATGAGCCAAGCTCTTCTTGAGATGCACAATTAAACAAGAAGCAACAGACTCAAACTGAAACAACAGAAATTCTGACTGGAGAGGATAAAATGATTCTTCACTCTTATAACAGTTAAGCAGGGTGGCCAGAGAGATGGTAAGATCTACACCCCTGGAGGTTTTAAAAAATCACATGGACAGGACCTTGTGCAACCCGATCTAGCTTGTAGTTAAATCCACTTCAAGCAGGTTGGACTACAGATGTCTAGAGGCCCCTTGCAAGCCATTTTTTTCTATAATGCTGTAATGTTATTTATAGTAACAAAATTACAATACGCTTGCCTGCTAATGTCTAAATAAAATAGCTGTTTCAAGTCTGTGTTAAATTAGTTGCTTCCCTGCCATTATTGCATGCCAGGGTGCTGGGGACAGGAAGCAAGAAAAAGTGAAGCTTATACTTCCATCCTGATGTGTTTTCTTTCTACTGAAAAGAGTGGGATCCTATTTGTCTGTGTTTCCATTCTACAGGTGTGAAGTACTTCTAACCTTTCATGTTAGATTGTCAGTAGGAGAACACCGCAAGAATCTGAAATCAGCAAGAGCATCTGAAACAAGAGAATCCACTGAAAGACTGCACAGAAGTTTTTGCATAGGAAGTAGCTCTCCGTATGATAGGTAGAAGCAGCACATTTCCATGGAGTAATATTAAAGTATTAAATTGTAGAATAATTTAGGTTGAAAAAGACCTCTAGGATCATCATATTAAACTGCTAACCTACCACTTCCAAGTCCACCACTAAACCATATTCCTAAGTGGTTACATGACTTTTAAATACTTCCAGGGATGGTGACTCAAGAACTTCATTGGGCAGCCTGTTCCAATGTTTGATAACTCTTTTTCGGTGAACTAATATCCAGTCTAAAGATTTCTTTTACACTTACTATAGTTAATAAACTTTTCTAGTATAAAACTGAGAGTGCCAGAAACCATGATGCTGTCACCTTGACATGCCGTGAAGATGGTTAGGCATTTCCTCTGCAGTCTCTCTAATTGCACCTATCATCAATATTGCCTTCAGATACTGGAGGTGAAAGGATGACACTTTTGTGCTATTAAGGACCACCTGAGTGTTTTTTTGGGAACGTTAGCACCTGATTCTTTCTGTTCTTCATTCATGAAAATCAGGAAGGACAGTCTATGTTATCTCTATAAGCAACAGTAAAGAAATCATGTTTATGTGCTGCTGACTATTTCAGTTCCGCTAAATAAACACAATAACCCTGCAGTCATAATTTAATTCTTTTAAAATGGCCGCATTCAGCAATTAGGAGTTTCACAGCTAACCAAGTCGCCAGTTTTCTGTTTTATCATCAACAAAAGAGATCAAAGTCTCTGTGACTCAGACTTCATGGCACAGACATCTTAACCCTGTATAAGTCTACTGTTGAACTCACAGGGCTTTTTAAATTCCAGATTTATAACCCTTCTCTTTTAGATCCAGTCTGCCCTTCCTAGTGCCTTCCCATCCCCATGCATCTTCTGAACTCTGATGTGCTCATTACTGGATATATAATGAAGTAGAACTTGGAATTCCATGCCCTACAATCACTCTTCTACTTGGCCTAATCAAGTTAAGTGCAACTTTTAAAAAAGCATATAATTTACATTATTATTTAATATTGCCTATTTTAAATTGTAAGATATATTATTTTTCTGAAGGAAAATAACTAGCTTTTTAATAACTAGTTTTTGTAGTGTGAGTTAAAACAGAACTTTAAAATATTTTCTTGTTGTCAAGGAATGGGAATGTAACATAAAAAAATAAAATGGCAATACAAAATTTTCATAAGTTTACTTGCCTAATTCTGCCTGTATTCAGAGTCTGAACCATTAAAACTTATGAGCTGTTTTAGAAGAAGTGTGCATTAGGGAGTGTTTCAACTGTACAGAGCTCAGTGATAGTGATGATAAGGTTGAGTGCCTATGGGTAAGAATCAGGGGGAAGGCTAACAAGGTAGTAGGCATCCTGGTGGAAGTCTTTTACAGACAACCTAACTAGAATGAAGAGGCAGATGAAGTATTCTGAATGAGGCTGGCTGATGTTTCATGATCCCTAGCCCTTGTTCTTGTGAGATACTTCGCTTTGCCAGATGTCTACCGGAAACTCAACAGAGCAGAGAGAAGGGAGTCTAGGAGGTTCCTGGACTGTGTAGAAGATAACTTCCTGATACAGCTGGTAAGTGAGCCTGTCAGGGCTGATGCCACATTAGACCTGCTGTTTACAAACAGAGAGAGAAGAAACCTGCTGCTGGGAGATGGGGGGGCTGGAGGTCATCTTGAGCATAGCGATGACAAAATGATGAGTTTCCAATTCTTGGTGAAATTAAGGAAGGGGGTCAACAGAACATCTACTTTGGACTTCCAGCAGGTGGAAGCAGTCATTAATAACAAAGGGGTCCAGGAAAGCTGGACATACTTTAAGAAGGAAATCTTAAAGGCGCAGAAGCCCATCCCTATGTGCCAAAAGATGAGCCATTGGGGAAAAAAACTGGCCTGTCTGAACAAGGAATTTTTGCAGGAACTCAAGGAAAAAAAGAGTTTATGACCCTTGGAAGAAGGGGCAGAAAGCTCAGAAAGAGTACAAGGATGTTGTTGGGTCATGTAGAGAGAAAATTAGAAAGGTGAAGGCTCAGCTAGAACTCAATCTGGCCACTGTTGAGAAAGATAATAAAAAGTGGTTTTTAGAAATACATCAACAACAAAAGGAGGGCCAAGGAAAATTTCTTAATTGGACATGGTGGGGAACATTGGAAGCAAGAATGAGAAAAAGGCTTAATGCCTTCTTTGCCTCAGTCTTTAACAGTAAGACCAGTTATCCTTAGGGCAGCTGGCCCCCTGAGCTGGTAGACAGGGACAGGGAGCAGATTAGAACCCCTGTATAATCCAGGAGGAAGTCATTAGTGACCTGCTGAACTATTTAGACACTCAAAAGTCTATGAGTTCAGGTGGGATTCATGAGAGGGTACTGAGGGAGCTGGCAGAAGAGCTCACCAAACCACTCTGTCATTTATAATCAGTCCTGGCTAACTGGGGAGGTCCCAAATGACTGGAGGTAGGCCAATGTGATGCCCATCCTCAAGTAAGGTCAGAAGGAGGATCCAGGGAAGGAGGTCAGGCCTGTCAGCCTGACCTTGGTGCCTGGGAAGGTTATGGAACAGATTATCTTGAGTGCAATCACACAGCATGTACAGGATAACCAGGGGATCAGGCCCAGCCAACACGGGTTTAGGAAAAGCAGGTCCTGCTTGACCAACCTTATCTCCTTTCACGACCAGGTGACCCTCCTAGTGGATGAGGGGATGGCTGCAGATGTAGTCCACCTGGATGTCAGTAAAACCTTTGAAACTGTCTCCCACAGCATTCTCCTGGAAAAGCTGGCAGCCCACAGCTTGGACAGTTCTTTGCTTGGTTGAAGAACTGGCTGGATGGCCAGGCCCTGAGACTGGTGGTGAATGATGCTGCATCCAGTTGGTGGCCACTCACTAGTGGTGTTCCCCAAGGGTTAGTGTTGGGCCCAGTCCTGTTTAATATCTTCACTAATGATTTGGATGAGGCAATCGAGTGTACTCTCAGTAAGTTCATGGACAATACTAAATTGGGTGGGAGTATAACAGGCTGGATTGATGGGCTGAGGCCAATTTTATGAGGTTCAGTAAGGCAAAGTGCCAGGTCCTGCACTTGGATCACAACTCCATACAGCTCTACAGTGTGGGGGAAGAGTGCTGGAAAGCTGCCCAGGAGAAAAGGATGTGGGAGTGCTGGTCGACAGCCATCTGAACATACACCAGCAGTGTGCTCAGGTGGCCAAGAAGGCCAATGGTATCCTGGCTCGTATCAGAAATAGTGTGGCCAGAAGGACCAGGGCAGTGATCACCTCCCTCTACTCAGCATTGGTGAGGCAGCACCTTGAGTTCTGTGTCCAGTTCTGGGCCCCACAATTCAAGGACATTGAGGTACTGGAGTGTGTCCAGAGAAGAGCAACAAAGCTGGTGAAGAGTTAAGAGCACTATGAGGAGTGGCTGAGGGAGCTGGGGGTGTTAAGCCTGGAGTAAAGGAGGCTCAGGGGGACCTTATCATTTTCTACAACTACAAAGGAGGTTATAGCAAGGTGGGGATTGGTCTCTTCTCCCAGTCAACTAGTGACAGGACAAGAAGACAGCCTCAAGCTGCACCAGGGGAGATTCAGGTTGGACTATGAAGAATTTCTTTATGGAAAGCACTGGAAATGGCTGCCTACGAAGGAGTCACCATTCCTGGAGGTGTTCAAGAAACAACTGGATGTGGAACTTAGTGCTACAGTCTAGTTGACAAGGTGGAGATTGGTCAAAAATTTGACTTGATGATCTTGGAGGTCTTTTCCAACCTAAATGATTCTGTGATGTCAAAACAACTAGAAAATTTCGACATTGTCAATGCTAAAACAAAATTTTGATAACATTTTCACTAAAGCATGAAGAGTCAAAAGAAACACTGAACTCTTCTAAAAACATTTTAGCTATTAATTTCTTTCAGATATAGTGTCATATATTTCTGCAGAACCCTGCCCTTAAATAACTCACCTAATAAAGTGCCTTGTTACCTGACCTGATCACAGCCCCAAATTCTCAAATCTAAAATGAGTAGTGCTCAGCTCCATTCTCTTTGAAGGGCGCTTCACATGGAAACTTTACCCAAGAGAGTGAATTCATTCCAGTGACACTGACACTTAAACTCTACTGCTGCTCTAATGACTATTTTATTATTCTGTTGTAAAGCTCTCAAAGTAGAAAAATTGAGAAAGCCTGAAATACTGTGTTTCATCAGAGCACTGATCAAGGAGTTAAAAGTTTCAATGTCTTCATCAAGGTCCAGATGATGGAAGATTTAACATGGTCCGCAGATCTAGAGATCAATATTGATTCCTCTGAGGAATATGTACAAACTACAAGGAAGAAAACAATGAACAAGCAATTGGATAAACTGAGTCAGAGAAAGTTCCAGGTGGACTAAAAATGTAAGCATCAGCAATGTTGCAAAGAGCATTCAGTGAATAAAATCCAACAGCATGTGCTGAATAGAACTCACACTGTGTGCAACTATCTGTCCTGTGTACAAAATACCAAATGATCGCTATGGAAATAATGTGATGGAATCATACCTCAACAGTAATACAGGGTGGAACAACACACCAGTTACTACTTTAACTTCTAAGTGATTGAACGCATGGCCTGAAACACATCAGCAATCTGTTCTAGCAGCAGGTGTCTGTGCCCTTGGCAAGCGGGTTGGAACTAGATGATCTTTAAGGTCCCTTTCAACCCAAACATTCTATGATTCTGTAAACTCTTAACGTAGCTCACTCACTATAGAAAGATGTTACATAAGTGGTAGATGCAGGCCATGATAAGTGTGCTAAATATTACCCTTGAAAGCCTCTTTGCAAATGCTTGAGTGAAATGAAAAGTTTGATCTTTTGCCATCAGTATCATGCTCCCACAAGATGCTGAGTGAGCTGAACTGGTGTGTCCCCGTTTTAAGAACTGGGGGTGTGTGCGTCAGAGAATAGCAACGGCTAAGTATGCCCATATCCAGACGGCAGCTCTAGTTCGCCAGAAGGGAAGCAGAGAGAGGGTGGCGAGAGCAGTTGGCCTCAGGCTTGTAGAGGATCACAGGGGCCAGTGTTCAGCAATCCTGGCTTCAGTAGAGCTCCGCTGGGCCCGTCCCCGTCCCAGTCCGGGCTGCCCCCTCCTCCGCGGTGCCCACGGGCCCCGCCCCGCTGCTCGCTCCAGGAGAGGGAAGCTGCCCTGTCCCGCGCCTGCGCCGGGACCGCAGGAGCGCCCAGCAGAAGTGCCCGCACCTAAAAGGAGATAAAACAACGTGCTAGTCGAAGGGTGTTGTAGGTGTGAGTGTTTTGCAGTTGGCCGAGTCGCTCTTCATCGGCTGCTTTCAACGTCAGTTTCTGCACAGAGCACCTTCTTCCGTCTTTTCCGCTGCCACTACTCAGGCAGTGATTGGCATTACCCTCGAGGAGGTGAAGGCGAGCTGGGTCCTTGCTGAGGCCATGGCGCGGCGTGTGACGCAGCGGGCTGCGCAGAGTCGCCGCTGTGGGCACGATGATGCCGGGGGAGACGCCGCCGCCGGCCGGGACTGCGGCCGCCGCCGGAGCCTGCGCCAACTGCGGTGTTCTCCAGCAGGTAGACACGGGCTGCCCTCCCTGTGGCGCTGGAGCGGGGTAGTGGGGCTGCGCCGCGCCGCTGGCGGGTGAAGAGTCCCGGGTCCCACAGTCACCGCTCCCGGTGCGGCGGGAACCCGGATAGCGTGTGTGGTGAACGGGCTTTATAAAAGTAGCAGCAGTGTCGAGCTTTAGCCGGGCGAAATGTGGAAAAGTAGCTCAGGTGTCTGCGGCGTGCCTGGGAATTTTTAGGTGTATCCTTTTGGCTTTGCTTCGGTGCAGTGAAAAGACTGTTATGATTCACTTTCTTCCTTGAGGTCTCTTAAGCGAGCGTGTATTTTTATAGTATTATGCTTTGGGCAATATTCGTTTCTCTTGTAAATGAAGGGAAGGCCCTGTTGAGAGTCCATAAGACACATTTAGAATGAGTATGGATTGAGAATTTGGAAAATCTGTAGACTCAAGTGAGCTGATGTTTTTTATTGCTAATATTCTGCCAAAGCTTAGTTGAATTTTGAGGAGAAAATCTTACGGGGATTTAGTATAGAATCTACCGCAAAAGCAACGTTTAAACAGCTTTTGTAGTAAGGCCTCATTTAAGTATGCATACTTTCTTGTGCAGCTTGCGTTCTCTACTTGTATTTAAATGAATATACTTTTGATGACTTAGTAATAAAGACTAAAATAAAGAAGACAGATCATTGTATTCTGTACCACATTAGCAATCGAGTTAGGTGTATTTACAGTAGATAGTACTAGTTTTTGGGGTATAAGTTCTTTACCAACTTGAGACTCTTCCTTACAGAACATAAATGAATATGTAGCCGCATTAATTGCACTGAAGCAAAAAATGATTGATGGAGAGTAAGTACAATTGCATGTATGTTTTTGTTTGGTGGGCTGGGTTTTATTGCTCTTAAGTGCTTAAAACAGTGCACCACACTAAATGCTCCAAAATGAAAGTAACTTCTTCACAAGCGGGTTCTAAATCTAGACTGTAAGACTTCTTAAATATAAGCTCTAAAGCAGTGGTATGTAATGGCAGTAAACGGGGCTAAGTACAGGCAGAAGCAGCTCTGTGAAGAGATTTATTTCATTTGTTTATCTATAAATTATATTATTATTTCATTTATTTGTGTTCATTTATTTCATTCTTGTGAAGAATATGAGAAATAAAGTCGAGTACAGGTATGTATGAACCTTTTAAACAGAATTAAGTCTGATCATTAGAGTATGAAATGCTTTTGTATTAAATATCAGAATATGGAAAGTGAAGCCGAACATTTTTCAGAACAATAAGGTTCTAAAATACTTCTTATAATTTGTTTTCTCTTATTGCTTGCAGTTCTTCTCAAAAACCATCAACATATGCTTGTATGGAATATCAAGATCTGTTATGTATTCCTCCATAGTGTGGCCTAATATCCACGCTATGCCTCCTAATTGTAATGTTTTGTTTCTCATGTACTCTCTCCCAGATACATATCAATTTGGCTTGAGTGAATCTAAATTCCAGTCCTGCATTCTGGTTTCCAAACAGTATTTAAGAGAGCACACACCGGGACCCTTTTTTCAAAGCTCCTTTACTATGTATGATTCCTTTTCTGACCTCCAGACTTTGTATCCCTCTTCCTTCTGCCAATGCACACAATTCTTGTGGGAATTGCCTCTTTAACTACTTGCAGCTCAGCCTTTCTTTTTTTGCCTTTCTTGATTACTCTTAAATGTTGCAAGAGAAAGTAATGCAACCCTCTCTGTACTGGGGTAATGGCCATGGTATTTCTCTTTCTTGTCCTTTCTTCTCACAGTTCTTAAAAACCATAGCATTTAAGGAAAGAGTTACTTTCCTTCCTGCTGTCCCTCTTGGATCAGGGTGTTACCCTCTTATGGCTGCTGTGAGAATAATGTAAAGATTAAGGCATTTTAGGGTCTTTTGAAATATTTTTCTGAGATTTATGTGTTCTTTTTTAGGAAAACATCTTTTTAAGTTTTAGGAAAGCATCCTTTTGGTAGCGTGTTACATATATATCTTTTAATTTATGCATGTATATTAATCTTTATATACATATATATACATATGTATATAAATTTTTACCTAAACAGTATTTTTTTTCAAAACTGCAATTAGTTAATGGCTACAAAGTAATTTAACTCAGTGAGTTTTTTATATTTCAAAGCAGTCTGATTTGAGGTTTGAATGACTTAATGAAACAAAAGGGTTATATTGACTACTATCAGAAAATGCAAACCAATCTTGCACTTTCTGTATTTATCTGTAAAGCAAAAGGAGAGGTATCCTGAGACATAATTGTCAAAATCGGGGGAGAAAATTAGTAATGTCTTTTTTTTCTTTACTTGCAGTCGTTTGCTGACAGAATATCAACAGAAATGCACTGATATCCTTTACTTTTCTATTAGTGTCCTTACAGAATTACTATACTTATAACACTTCTTATAAGAGTACTTGAGACTTTTTACTTAAGGTTTAAGTAGTGATATCTCCAGTGAAGAACAAACTGGGTAGGTTTTATAAAGAAAATAGACCTTTGGAATTAAAACTATCCACCTAAATTCTGTCTGTGTCTAATATATGGTTCAAGATGGTCTATTTGAAATCTGTATTGCGTGAGAATTACTCATGTAACAGAAGAAGCTCTGCTTATTCACTTCAAGTGTACTGAAATGTATGTATTAAACACTTAATTGTGCAAGTCTTGTGGAGTTTTTTGTGTGAGGAAATTTTTATTGGATGTTTCTTTGCAAGTGGCAATTGAGTTGAAATACATTTAAGGACATTTGATGAACTGTTTTTAATTTCTACCTTAACAAGAGATTACAGCTTCAATTTGCTGAACGGTAAGTTGATATAGGTTGTTTAATAAAGATGCTATGTTTTCAATTTGCCACCAGCTGCTGCAAGAGAGGAGCCCCAAAGAAAAGATACAAGGACTCCCTGAAACAACAGTTCAGCCTTGGCCATATTGATCAACATAACTGGTCTACTCTGGCCTCCAATCGGGAGGTCTGGAGACACACCATCTATAACGCTGCTGATGCTTTTGAGAAAGCACGCAGGATCACCCTTGAGGAGAAAAGACAAGGCAGAAAGAATCATGCCTTGCAGAATATACCACCTAAGGAGTCTTTCTGCTGTGCCTTTTGCAACCGGACATGCCTATCTCATATTGGCCTTTTTAGCCACCAGCGCGTTTGCAACAAACATGGGTAGAGCCCTTCCCAAATCTTCGTTCACGAAGCCTAGCCATGATGTTTTCAATCTTGTGGTTAGTTTTGGGAGTCTGATGCTGTAATAGCAGCAGCCCTGGGTCTCAACTGAGCATTTAGTATGGTCCTTTTACTGTGCTTCCTGGGCCATAGTTAGCAAAGCAGAGAAATCTGTTGTCCTTCTACAGTACCTGTGTGGGATTCTTTCCTGGGCCTATGTTACATGAGAGTCTTAAGTGACCAAGTGGAGATGTGGAGCTCATATTTTGGTGGTAGTTAAATGTAAGCCTATTTGGGGCGGCCATATTTGTATGAAGCATTTTACTTTAGAGTTGTGGCTGTGTGCTTTTGCTTACTCTGATTATAGAGGAAGAGGCAGCATATAATCCTGCCTGCTGAAGAATACTGCAGTTGGACTCTGCTCTAATTTTACAGCAATATGTAGGCAGAGACACTTATTACCAGCACTTTAGTGTAGGCAGCACACCTATGTGGCATGTGCCATCTGCTTGCATTTAACTTCAGGCTCAGTGTAGTGTTTTTTAACCAGATCTTAAATTTTCTTTAAATGTTGGATAGAAAAATGAGAATACTGAGACTCTAAAAGCTTTTGGGTATCTCTCACAGCAGTTTTCCATAGGAAAAAAGCAAAGTACTCAAGACACTTGACTGAAGAATCAGAATATTACATTTGAAAACACCTGTGTTTTTGGCAACTTCTTTTTTAATTGCACATCCCGTTTCAGAGAG